AAAGCAGCTCCAGGAAGGCGTTTTCAAGATCACATTATTTTCAATGGGACTTTAGCCCTTTGTTTAAATATTTATTTATTTACTTGGCACATTTGGAGGCCGCCCCATTGGCAAAAGCCTCGGGGCGGGTCAGGGTTCGGTTACGGCGAGTTCCTTTAGTTCCCCCCATGTCTCCTCACGCGTCCTCCCTCCCAACGCAGCTACTATTCCTGTGACCCTGAGCTGAACCGATTCCAGCCTAGCTGGGTTCCTGCTATAATGCGAAGCCCAGAACTGGACGCAGGACTCCAGCAGTGGTCGCGCCAGAGTTGTGTAGACTGGCCACTCTTGAAACAGGTGTGACTTACTTGGAGGGACCGAAAAAGGCCGGAGCCCCCTGCCAGAGGGGGCGAATGACACGAGGGGGGCAACGGAACGCCCCCCTTCCGTCATCAGGGACGGGAGGGAGAAGCAGCCCTTCTTGCCAGCCGCCCCCCTTCCCTCGCCTCGGGCGGCCATGGCAGGAGAGGCAGGAAGGGCAGCAAGAAGCCCCAGGTCGCCTTCGGGCAGCCATGCTGCGCGTGACGTCAAAACCGAGGCGCCTGCGGCGCGGAGAAGTGACGCGCTCTCGGCCCTCGCCATGTTGGCAGTGTCCCACCCAGAGAGGGGCCTTGCCCGTCAGCCACGTTGGGAGCGGCCTGTCTCCGCGCAGGCGCGTGTCTGGAGCCGCGAAAGTGAAGAGCCGGAGTGGACAGTGGCATCCACGAAGAGCCCAGCAGGCCGAGCCCCAGCCCGGCCCGTGTCCCAGGAGGGCGGAGGGGCTCCATTGCCGACATTCCGGGGGGGGCAGGGGCACGTGCAGCCCGTGCGTGGGGGGCGCTCCGTGCAGCCGGGGGGGGGGGCGGGGGCAGAGCGGTTCTGCGCTCAGCAACGGGGGCATCGAAGTGCGCCTGGAGCGCCCTCCTGTGGCCACTGCCGGGAATTGGAAATAACGCAATGTGACTAGATCCGTGCCCAGACCCTCAACGATACCCATTTTGGTGAA